GTGTTAGCCTGGTGAGGTATGCTTATTTACAAATCTGCACTAGCTACCAGTCAATCATTCAATAATTTTCTTATTAGCAACAAGCTCTGTTGAGATGGGGTATTCCATAAGACCACCTTGGGGCTTTCCGGGTGGTGCACAATTATTCAGTACCATGCATAATATACAATACTGGACCACCACTCATGGACTATCATGAGTAAAGCTTAAGGGGATTATGCCCATCTCTCCTGACCCCCTAGATTGAATAAATCAAGGTCGGTTTGCTTTTCAAAATAGGGAACATGGTTCAACTATTGTACTGTCTCTGAAGCATCATTCCTTGGGACTCCCCAGTGTAAGTATTCCCCCCCCTTCTCTAGTTAAGCATTGGAGTTCTTACCACTTTTGGTTTCCAGTCACTAGAGTGGTGGATAGAAGTGATACTTGTACTCATTATTCCAATCAAGGAGAAGAGGGCAAAGCTGGGGGCCCTCCTACCAATAACCCTGGATGGTTTCCAAGATGTATGGTAGGAGCAGGACCAGACTACATGGGTGCCTCCTCGTAATTCCAGTTCAGAGATGACTCTTCCCTATCGGGTTGGATTGTGCATGGCCCATCTTTTTGGTCATTCTCTTTATTTTGATGATCATCAAAGAGGGTCATCGACTCCTCATAGATTTATATGCGGAGAATCACTTCCTGTGCCATTGGTTGAACTTTGTTTGTTCCACATCCTCCTTGTAATTCTGGGAGCAGGAGGTGTTGCCTTGCCTCTCAGGTTAGGGAGCTAGGATTTCAGCTCGTAATCCCAGACCAGGTAATCTCTGTTTCTTCAGGTTGAGTGAGATGTGACAGGTCCCATAATCCTGGGTTCAATTTGTTGCATTTTGCGCTTCTTCAGGTTGGGGCGAAGGTTTGTCCACTTTAGTGTTCTTACCTTCTCTTTGTAATTCCAGTGGCTCAACATGCAACATTCTGTAGCTTTCAGGTTGGGTTCCATTGATATCACATTTGCTAAACAAGACCAAACAATACAACAGTTCTCATGCCATAGCCAATTACACCTCGCATCTCAATTTGGGTCCTATAATTCCAATGACGAGATGTGGGACCTCGTCTACCTGGTTGGGGCCTGGACAAATTCATGTTCTTCTAAATATGTTAGAATTTTGTGTCTGTGGCCAGTCATCCTTTACCACCCATGAATTGAAATTAATGTGGTCCAAGTGAAGAGCATACCTGTTCCAGAAGTAGTGCAGACCCCACTGGTGTGTTATTGCTATATCTCATTTTTGCACACCTCTTTTCTACATACATGCTTTCTGTATGGACCTTGCCCTCCACTTTGTAAATGTGAGATTCTAGCTAAAGTGTGTTTCAGAAGTTAGCATTTTTCTATACCCAAAATGTATTTCCAATAATACCTCTTCTCACACTCTCCCCATGAAATGGTTGGTTTCGGGTCTGTTAATTTGGACTGTCTCAAAAAGTGAATAAGCATTCTAACGCTTACTGATAAATTGCCAAATTTTGTTAACATTCACTTACTAATTTAAAAGTTATAGCATGAAAACTATAACAAACACAAAATGGTTACAAGGTTGGTCCCAGGGACCGAGCCTGGGTTGAAAAAGTTAATATGTGGTTACTATTCAACTATTGTTAAATGATTTCTGTTAACAAGAGAAAAACAACATCTGACATTGATTGAATGCTGCTTAATGAATCTCCAAAACGTATAGAACTATCTTTGAATTCCTGGCTAACAAACAACCTTTTGAACACAGACCTACTTATAAAGTACAGAAACTGTAAAGACCATTAGGTTGTTGGTGTATGTGTTGTGTCTAAAATAATGTAGTCTAAGTATAATTTCACCAGTGAGAATAATAATTTCTGTACATTTGTAGTATATGTACTACACAGAACAAACAACTGCTGGTTTATGTGTATTCTTGCTTGTTCCCTATGCACCTGAAATATCCATTCCAGGTATCAAGTACCTTTATGACATTAATTATGTATATATATATATATATAAGTATTGTCTTCCATGAAAGTAAGAAAATAGCACCGAGTTAAACTATATAATACTGTATGATTAAGTTAATTATTTTCTGGTATTATGATACTGACTAAATTTTAATGAGAGTTTGTATTTACAGCACTAATCTCAATTCTTATTTTTGGTAATATACTGTTCTTTTGTATTTAGTATTTTCCCAGAATTTATTTTTAATGATTTCAGATGTCATCTCTACAACAGCAGAAGAAAGTTGTTGAACAGTTACGTCAAGAAGCTGGCATTAGAAGAGTGAATGTTTCAGTGGCCATTGAAGACTTAAAGGTAATTCAGCACCAGTTCCTTTTACTTAATGAATTTCACATGCTTAAGAATATTTTGCTTTGTACCATTATATCTTTTAAAATCATTATTTAAATTGATTTGTTATTTATGTTCAAATATTATCTATTTCATTATTGTTTGTTTGTTTTTCACTTTGATATTGCTGTTCTGAAAAAGTCATCTTTATGATTATTTGATCTTTTTCTTTCACAATGTATTTGTTTAATAAACTTTCTGTGGTCAGTGGGATTCCTGCTTTTTATATATTCTTTCAGTTTGCTGTATTGTTGTTAAATATATTTTTTAATTTTATTATATTTATGGGTGATTTTTGTTCATTTACTGAAACCCATGTATTCATTTTCTTGATTACTGTTACTGTATATTTGTTTAAAACCATTTTATTATGTATATTTTTTCTAATTTTCTTCCTATCTGTTGCTTCTAATCACTTGTGAAAAAAAGATCAAAATAGTTTTAAATTGTTCCAGTTTATTTGAATTGAACATAAATGTCTTGTTTAAACATATGTACCTATAAAATGTGTTATTCTAAGTTAACTTTGTATGTAGCTAACTGTATGTGTCTGTCAGTAGTGTAAGTATTACTGTCAGTAATACATTTGTTAGAAAACTTTTAAACTAAAATAGCTCTCGTAGTTTTTTTGTTGTTTTTTGCATCTATTGTTAAGTGTTCTGTTCCTTTTTTTTAGAAATATATTCAGGAACATGAAAATGATGACTACCTTCTAGTGGGATTCCACTCTCAAAAAGCCAATCCTTTCAGAGAAAAGAGTTCCTGTATAATACTCTGATGAGAGTTTATTATTTGGTCTCCCATTCTTTAACTCAACTACATAAATAAAGAAGGAAGGAAAAAATAAGCAGAAAACATAAGAACACAATCTGTTACTTTTTGTAGAGATAGTTGTGACAAACAAAATGTACTACTACTTCTACTATATTCAATATTGGTTGGACTCATCTTTTACCAGATGTTAAATGTTTCAGTTGACAAAATAAGGTTTCTGTGAGATTTTTGAGTTTTAAAATGGGAGATGTAACTTGTATGCTGTAAAGCAGCTAATTTTTGACATAAAATTTTGATTTTTTCTTTAAGTTTGTCAGCTCAAATCCAACAGGCACTCAGTCAGGAAAGCTGCTGTCCAGGTAATAACAATTAATAACATATACAGCAACTCATATGGTGTTCTGAATAAAAGAGAAATACTTTTTTATTCAAAAATATGTATGATTATTTGAGTTTTCATATGTCATGTAAAACAGACACTGCCATATGTTATGAGTTTACCTTGAGTAATTGTAGATGGTTGGTTCACTGTCACCATGTGCTCTATAGAAGCCACAAAATATTTTGTTATAATCACACTTAGAAGTTGTGAGCAAGTTTTTAATTTGCTCTAGTATCTTGTACATGATTTGTTGTACAATTACAATGACTCTTTGTTGTTGTTATGAACATATTAATTGAAAAGAAACTAACTTATTCCACACTGGTGAATAAGACTCACACATTTTAAAGGGTTGAACCAAGTAGTGTGTGTTTTCAATTGAATTAATTAAAATATTGCCAGATTTTGTGCTGAAAATTCTTGCACAGCTTGAAAGAGTAAAATTAAGAAAACTGGTTATTCCCTAAAGTTTGTTATGAATACATATATATTGACTCGTGGTGACCCAGGCTCCTTACTGACATAAAATTCAGATAGAATAGAATAGAGAAATCAGAAGCAGATTGCTCATTAGGTAAGTTACAATGTAACTGAATTAATGTTGTTCACAAAAAATATTGTTACATATGTTCTACATGTAGTTTTTTTAGCTTGTTGGTTTCACGGTTAGTTTAAAGTTGTTTGACTTACATTTTATTCTTTGGTTTAATTTGACAGATATCCTAAGAATAAAGTTGGTTATTCTTGAGAAAATTGTTTCACACATTTTTACCATTATACTAACATGTCATCAGAAAACTTCAATGGTTTTTGAAATGGTTGATTTTAAACCATAAAATGTTAGTATTTGTCTTTTCAAAGGAATGTGGTGCTTTGTATCAGTAAATATGTTAGCTTACACAAGGTACAAAACAACAACTATCTCAGTTATGATTGATAGAATTCATGTGATGTAAATCTATTGTGTTCTATGTTCTTGATATTACATATCATATTACCTTCTGTTATTGACAGCTCATACAGTTTTATAACCTTAAAAAGCCCATTTGCTTATTTTTTTTCCAGAATGTTGCAACAATCCATGAGTGTCTTGTTATGTGTAATAATCTACATCATTATTATACCCATTGTGAATAAATTTATATGTGGCCAAGTGGATATTGCCAAATCCGTATATGTAAGTGTGACTGCCATGCTGTTACTGTCATTGTATGTGTAAAGCACTTGCGTTGGACAGCCACGGAAGAGCCCCACTGTGACTGTCATACCTTGTGCTTGAGAAGTGTTTTGTATTATCTCTCAGAATGCCAAAGTCATGTACAATGTGTGCATCTAAAGTAAAGTAATAAATATATTGTGTGACCATACTGTTGATGATTGCTTTCATGTTGTGCCACATGCCACAGTTGTGTGTGTATGTTATTTAGATGTATTTATATACATCTTACAAAATTATTTTGCATCTTGACCAGGGAAAATAACATTTAAAAGGATGCAAAAGTACTATGCAATATTTAATAAAGTCAGTACTGAAAGATGAAAATCATGGAATGAGAATGATATCAAAGTTATCAATAAACGCTGTAATTAAAACATCAGATCCACTTGTAGCTGACATTCTAATGCAAAAAGATTCATTCTGTATCACACATGCCATCGAAGAGGAAAAGCAATTCTTCTCTTGACCATGATGTAGAAACAAGTTTGTATCATTCATTATTTTGCTGAATTTTTTTCTGCATTTGAAGTATGTGAAATATGCATTCTTCCACAGATACATCTGATAAAGATTGACTAATCTCATGCTGTGTTTGTGAAGAGAAACCGTTTTTTTTTTGTTCAAATATATTGTAACTCAGAAGAATAAGCAATTCCTCAACTAATCTGTATCAAAATAGACAAGTTCATTATTTAATAAAATTAACTTAGGGAACCTGTTAAGGAGGCAAAATTTGAATGATAAATAATGCTACATAAATGTTCCATTTTCTTTTCTTTTTTACTAAATTCTGAATGACGTCATTAAATTACAGTTGCATACCTTTTTTTATAGAAGGTAATAATTGACTCATTTAACTGATTAAGTACTTGTGTCTTTAAATTCAAAGCCAAAAGTCCATAAAAAAGTGAAAATGCCCTATTTCAGGGTATTTTTTGTCTCCTTTCTTGTGCAAAAACCCTAAAAAAAGTAGCTCATGTACGTCATCTGACAGTTTCCAGTTACCGTACAAAATATTATGGTAAGGGTTTATAGGGTTTTATTCATTTCCATCAAGACTTCTTGAATCTACGTGTTTTTCTAACATCATATTGTTGCGTCAGCGAGGTCACGTGACTAGTGTCACGCCACTTCTCTCGAACCTTCGGGAATAGTCGGGAGATTACT